GCCGGTTCCATGGGTTTATGGAACCGCCTACCCGCCGAAGACACACTTGCCAAAACTGTGTTAAGTTTTAAAATCGACCTGGAAAAGATCAAGCCAAATGGAGGGGACCTTTGACAAGCCCCTGGCTTTATGTTTTTGTCTAGGCCACTAGGGTTGGTGGCCTTCATGTAAATCGGGTAAAAATAAATGCGAATTGGAGAAGTTCTTAGTTACCCCTTGTCCGGTGAGAGCATTGTCCATTTTCTTTCTATCTGCAAAACACACACACATTCGTTCTCTATGACAGGCTGCATGGTAGACTATGTTGTTCTTGTACCCAGGTGCACATTCTTGCAACAGTTTCGGCATTTCATTGAAGTTGTCAAAAACCCTACATAGCGAACTTCCCTCCACTCCACTCCGTGTCTGCAGGTAAGTTAGGCGGTATTTTCTTTTTATTTTATTTAGTTTAATTTACTGTTCAGTAGCCGTCATCTTCAGTGGATAGTTAATAGTGGTCCGCAAGGGCCCGGCCTCCCCACACATGGTTCCAGCAGCTGCCACTTGAATAAACTGAAGACCATACAAAATAAATCCAATACGATATAGGTGAAGCGGACTCACTTCTCCGAGAGCTTGAGAAAGGTCGAGGCTTTCAGGCACAGAGAAACCAAACCACCTCTCAACAGTGACAACTTTGGTATTATAAAAATAGGGACAAAATGATGCAGGACTTAATATTGAGAGTGAAGGAAGTACTTACCTTCATGTGGAACATCATGAGTTCATTGGAGAGCTTGGAGCGAACTTGTGTGTCGAAGACCTTCTTGTAGAGGAGGGAGTTGGCGATGGAGATGCCGCAGTAGATGCTGAAGGCGGTGGCGATCTCCTCGTCGAACCTGGAGAAGTGGAGCCCCGTCGTCTTGTTGCACAACTCCGCCACGCCGATAACCTGGCCATCCTCCTTGATAGGGAAGCACAGGATGTTTCTGTACGGGGCAGAGAGTACACTACACTCGCCCGCCGGGTTTATGTCACACTCGAGCAGAGCCCACACTCGAGCAGAGCCCACACTCGAGCAGAGCCCACACTCGAGCAGACCCACACTCAAGCAGAGCCCACACTCAAGCAGAGCCCACACTCAAGCAGAGCCCACATCAAGCAGAGCCCACACTCAAGCAGAGCCCACACTCAAGCAGAGCCCACACTCAAGCAGAGCCCACACTCAAGCAGAGCCCACACTCAAGCAGAGCCCACACTCAAGCAGAGCCCACACTCAAGCAGAGCCCACACTCAAGCAGAGCCCACACTCAAGCAGAGCCCACACTCAAGCAGAGCCCACACTCAAGCAGAGCCCACACTCAAGCAGAGCCCACACTCGACTATACAAGAGCCGTTAAAGAATGCGTTTGTTAAAAGCAAAAACAAACCATGAAAAGAGTAATCAGTAAGACCGCTGCCAGCCGCTCCTGGGCCACCAACGAGCCAAGAACAACAGTTCCGTACTGGCAAGTGAACACAATATAGACAACAAGCATCTTACATCAAGCTCAAACGTTTTATATTTCTTTTGCCCTGTAATACACGGTCCACCGCTGGGCTCACCGCTATCTTGTGTACTTGTGGAACAATTAAAAATGGCGTGTCTGGTCTTTGGGAGGGGGGGGAGCCAGGAGAAGTGAACACACCTGGTCTTGGGGGGGGGGGGGGGAGGAGTGAACGCACCTGGTCTTGGAGGGGGAGGAGCCAGGAGAAGTGAACACACCTGGTCTTGGAGGGGGGGGGGGAGGAGTGAACGCACCTGGTCTTGAAGCCCGTGCACTCGTCAAAGCCACGGTAGAAGAGCGGATGAGCGTAGGCGTCGCGTATATTCAGGAGGTGGCCGGTGGTGGCGACGTGGCCCGCTATCCCCTGTGTCGCCGGGAGCCTCACCTCCCCACACGACTGTTGGGGGGTCACAATGTACTGCATTATACACCTGGCACTGGAACACTACCTGGCTGTGGCTACCCCACACACCTGGCTAATAATACACCTCCCGGGGCGGACTCGCAAACCATTTCCGTGTTCACATAAGAGATCCGGAAGTCTTGTGTCCGTCATGGCGGCTAAGTCTGTATTCACTAAACAGCTTGCGACGCTGAGGCGCAACGAGATCATCTGTGGCAATAAAAAGCTTGGGCTGAGGACGACCTCGTAGCACATAAGAGCTCGTAAACCGTTTAGTAAATACCGATTAATCTGTCACGATAGAGGCAAGAGGTAGAGATCTCTTGCGTGAGAGGAAACCAATGTACGAAGCTTGGCCTCAGTGAGGGACGTTTGAGGGCCTGGCAGGTGTGTATGGGGAAGGGATCCCAGGCAGGTGTGTATGAGGAAGGGATCCCAGGCAGGTGTGTATGGGGAAGGGATCCCAGGCAGGTGTGTATGGGGAAGGGATCCCAGGCAGGTGTGTATGGGGAAGGGATCCCAGGCAGGTGTGTATGGGGAAGGGATCCCAGGCAATTGTGTATGGGGGAGGGATCCCAGGCAGGTGTGTATGGGGGAGGGATCCCAGGCAGGTGTGTATGGGGGAGGGATCCCAGGCAGGTGTGTATGGGGGAGGGATCCCAGGCAGGTGTGTATGGGGAAGGGATCCCAGGCAGGTGTGTATGGGGAAGGGATCCCAGGCAGGTGTGTGTCCCAGGCAGCAGGTGTGGGGAAGGGATCCCAGGCAGGTGTGTATGGGGAAGGGATCCCAGGCAGTTGTGTATGGGGAAGGGATCCAGGCAGTTGTGTATGGGGAAGGGATCCCAGGCAGGTGTGTATGGGGAAGGGATCCCAGGCAGGTGTGTATGGGGAAGGGATCCCAGGCAGGTGTGTATGGGGAAGGGATCCAGGTGTGTATGGGGAAGGGATCCCAGGCAGGTGTGTATGGGGAAGGGATCCCAGGCAGGTGTGTATGTGTAAGGGGAGGGATCCCAGGCAGGTGTGTATGGGGGAGGGATCCCAGGCAGGTGTGGTATGGGGAAGGGATCCCAGGCAGGTGTGTAGGTGTGGGGGAGGGATCCCAGGCAGGCGTGTATGGGGAAGGGATCCCAGGCAGGTGTGTATGGGGAAGGGATCCCAGGCAGGTGTGTATGGGGAAGGGATCCCAGGCAGGTGTGTATGGGGAAGGGATCCCAGGCAGGTGTGTATGGGGAAGGGATCCCAGGCAGGTGTGTATGGGGAAGTATCCCTGCCAGACCCCGCCACGTTCTCTTGACCAGGCAGCAAGAGAACACAGAAGGATCTGGCAGCAACACATCCACATCTTTACCAAACTTAACCTCCCGAAATTTTTATCCTATGATTTCAATAAAGTTCACTTACATGTTCACCATCTTAAAATAAAGTTACTTAACTACTCTTTCCATTACAGAATGCAGCATATACTATAGGGAACGGAAGAGGAAGAGGAGGAGGCTGTAGTGAAGGAGGAGGAGGTTGTAGTGGAGGAGGAGGAGGTTGTAGTGATGGAGAAAGAGAAGGAGGCTGAAGTGGAGGAGGCGAGGATTAGAGGCACTAGAGCCTCTAGTCCAGGCCGCCTCTGGAAGGACACACTGCTCGTCTCTCCGTGTCTCCGTGTATATTTACAACTAGTCTCTGCAGGACTGGGAGGGAGGTAGTTAGCTCTTGGACCCTGCCTTTGTAGCCCTCGGGTCTCTAATGTACCGACTCCCAATCTGTTGTCCTCTATCTACTACGTATATTTTTATCTAACGCGCGCACACATCCTCAGGATGTAGCCCGTTGCAGCTGTCTAACTCCCAGGACTTATTTACTACTAGGTGAACAGTGACATCAGGTGAAAGAAAGTCTGTCCATTTGTTTCTGCCTCGGCAGGGAATCGAACCCGGGCCTTTAGGACTACGACCCTTTATGTCCACTCAGCCTGCCCCCTCCCCGTGTGTGTACTCACCTAGTGCTTGCGAGGGTTGAGCTCTGGCTCTTTGGTCCCGCCTCTCAACTGTCAACTGGTGTACAGATTCCTGAGCCTATTGGGCTCTATCATATCTACATTTGAAACTGTGTATGGAGTCAGCCTCCACCACATCACTGCCTAATGCATTCCATTTGTCAACCACTGACACTAAAAAAATTATTTCTAATATCTAAAACTATACACAGTGTGTGTAGGTGTGTGCGTGTGTGCGCGCGCGCGACAACTCTCCGCATGCGCGTCGAACTGCGTGATAGCCCTGGAGAGTTGAGTGGAGAAAGGCAGGAAGTAGAGTGAGGAGGAGGAGGAGGATAAGGCTAACCAACCTGGTGCCATGAGGAACATAATACACAGCCACAGGTGAACACAACTCTGTGAACGCCTGTCATAGTAACGCTCAACTACGGGATGCAGTGCTCAACTGTTCAAACTCTTCCTTCAGCATCAAAGGTTCAACTCTTATGAACACGAGACAAACGTTCCCGAAGGAATTGAATAAAAAAAAAACACGTGAGCTAGCAGGAAATTGTGGCGGTGATGGAGGGAGAGGCAGGGGAAGGGAGCTATCAGGGGGTAAAGCGCCAAGCCATTACGACTATATAGCACTGGGAAGGGGTCAGGATAAGGGTTTGGGATGGGACGGGGGGAAAGGAATGGGTGCCCAACCACTTGGACGGTCGGGGATTTAACGCCGACCAGCATGAAGCGAGACCGTCGCTCTACCATCCAGCCCAAGTGGTTAGGGAGAGGCAGGGGTGCGCCAGCATCTACAGCGCTGTGGAAAGTGCCGCCACTATCCAATAGAGTACTTCCGTAGACAAGCCAGGAAGTGAGTGAGTGAGACGGTGTATTGAGGGGTAAAGCCAGTGACCTAGTGACTGAGGGAGGCACTAGCGACAAGTACTGTCGGGTAGAGAGTACTTCCCGAAACGACGAGTCCTGGGATGCAGGCGGCAAGTGGCAGCAGTACTTCCTCCACCGACTGCTGGCGGGAGACACTAGTTAGTTGACCAGGTACTTCCAGCACCTGTCTTTATGGTACTTCCCCTCCCATCCACCCACTCCTTTCCATCTCACCCAATCTTTTCCCTCTCTCCCTCCCTTCCACTTCCCCTCCTTCGCTCCCATCCCCCTTCCAACCTTTTGTATTCCTCTCCTCTCTGTCTATCTTTATAACTCTCCATTTATCTTTACTGTCCTATCTCCTTTATCATCTCTTCTTTCTCTCAATTCCTATTTCCTGCGTATTTCCCTGTCGTGTGTATCTACACTCCCCCTCACACACACACACACACACACACACCCACACACCACACACACCACACACACACACACACACACACACCACACACACACACACACACACACACACACACACATTAATCAGAGATGCGGCAAGCATTTTGGAGTGGAAAATATATTCTAGAACGGGCAGTAGTCATCCATCTGCGTCCCTGTCTCTTAATTGCCACCCGGCCCTGTGCCACCCGGCCCTGTGCCACCCGGCCCTGTGGCACCCGGCCCCCTGCCCCGGACCACTCCCTGCTCTTCACCATGCTGTGGCCCTCTACCACCACCTGATAACTTTGTAAAGTAAATTAAAAGTCTCCCCGACCAAAAACACATGACCGTGAGTTTTGTGAGAACTTGGCCAAGAGCTGCCGCTAATCTCTCGTCTAAACCTCGACTTTCCTGACTAGTGTCTACCTTTACAAGGATTAGTTTCAGGGAATTATCGCCTGGAATTTACGAGGCCAAGCGGCTGCTAACTCTTTTAGTTAAGGCAATTACTCTAAGACGACCCGTGATTGTTTGGTTCCCAACTTGCCTCGTTATCCCCTTGATTGTTTCCTTTTATTTACCAAACAAGCCAGTAGAACCAAACAAACCTAAACAGCCAAAGTGGTTGGGCTGGACGGTAGAGCGACGGTCTCGCTTCATGCAGGTCAGCGTTCATTCCCCGACCGTCCAAGTGGTTGGGCGCCATTCCTGCCCCCCGTCCCATCCCTAATCCTTATCCTCACCGCTTTCCAGTGCTATATAGTCATAATGGCTTGGCGCTTTCTCCTGACAGCTCCATTCCCTTACCTATTTGTTCCCCTGCTTGCTGGTTGGATCTAAGTGGCTGTTTGTTGCCTTGTTAGTAATTGTGGTCCCCTCACAAGCCTGTCAAACCAGCTGCACCGCGAGGCTCATCACGGGTCTTCTCCTCTCACCAGCGAGCAAGTGGTTCCTGCTCCACCTGTTGGCTTCTCACTTAGTGTTCATTTTATGGCCCTTTCTCTGTCTATTCTTCCTTTCATCTATCTCCCTCCGCTTCACCCGCCGCCTACAGCTCTTGTCGGCTTTGTTGCTGGCGTCTGGTACCTTGGGCGAGGAGAAGAGGCGACGAGCGGGAAAAGTCTGAAGGAGAGGAATGGAATGAGGTATATCTGGAGTATACTTCAGATATGCTCTCTTCCATCCCTCTCTTTCAGCCTCATTCTCAGTCGTCTCTCCCTCCCGCCCTCTCCCCCCTTCTCCGGCCCCGCCCAAGGTAATCAAGGGCAGTAATTACCTCTCCCACACGAGGTTCTCAATATGGTAGTTTACTACCAAGCCTGGGACGCCCTCTGGCGCTGGTAAGGTCTTCACTTTACCGCAGCGGCCGCCCTCTGCCAGGCATCATCTCCGCCATGTTGTGCCTCCTATACTCCTATCCACTATCATTACACGCAATATGGGATTTGCCTCAAGAACTGACATTCTAGCGCGCACACACAAGGGGACCAGTCGGGGACCGGTGCTGTCTAACCATCCCATCCACAACTATTGACATTTCACACGATTTCGCATCCAGCTGCCTGTGTGTACTACTGCTACTATCCTCCTCCCTCCCGCCCCGCCCCTACCATATTCCCTGCCATCCTCTCCCCTTCGCTCTCTCCTACCTCACTCCCTATCCCGTAACTCATTCCCAACCCGCTCCACACTCTCTCTCATCTCCCTCCTTCCCTCCCTCTATCCATCCCCCCCCCACCCCCCTGCCCCAGCCACTCACCTCTTCCTTACTCTCGCCGTCGAAGACCTTGGCCACCAACTGGTTCTGTTCCCGATCCAGCAGGAACAGCGAACATCTCTCCGCGTCGGTCAGCTGTCGCGCCTCCGCCATGATCTCCCGCAGCAGGACGGTGACGTCGTCTGCGGGAGGCCCACCACCACGCCCACGGTTAGTACACACGACCATGGTAAGGGACAGGAGAACCACACTAAGGGAGAACCAGGGTTCAGGGGCAGGAAGTGAACCACACTAAGGGAGAACCAGGGTTCAGGGGCAGGAAGTGAACCACACCAAGGGAGAACCAGGGTTCAGGGGCAGGAAGTGAACCACACTAAGGGAGAACCAGGGTTCAGGGGCAGGAAGTGAACCACACCAGGGGAGAACCAGGGTTCAGGGGCAGGAAGTGAACCACACCAGGGGAGAACCAGGGTTCAGGGGCAGGAAGTGAACCACACTAAGGGAGAACCAGGGTTCAGGAAGTGAACCACACCAAGGGAGAACCAGGGTTCAGGGGCAGGAAGTGAACCACACCAAGGGAGAACCAGGGTTCAGGAAGTGAACCACACTAAGGGGGAGAACCAGGATTCAGGAAGTGAACCACACCAGGGGGAGAACCAGGGTTCAGGAAGTGAACCACACCAGGGGGAGAACCAGGGTTCAGGTGCAGGAAGTAAACCCCACCAGGGGAGAACCAGGGTTCAGGGGCAGGAAGTAAACCCCACCAGGGGAGAACCAGGGTTCAGGGGCAGGAAGTAAACCCCACCAGGGGAGAACCAGGGTTCAGGGGCAGGAAGTGAACCCCAAGACACTGCCTGAACCAGCAGGTTGTCTTGGCTTACTAACATGACAAAAATTGAAGCCACAATTTAATAATATTATGAATCTAAACATAATGAGGAGGATTACTTTAGGTGATAGTGATGGTGGTGTCGATGGTGTTGATGATGGTGTTGAGGGCAGCAGTGGTGTTGATGGTGATTGAAGAGAGCACAAAATATGGAGTATAAAGAGGACACTCCCTGGGTGTTTATTTGGAGCACAGCAACTGGAGAACAGCAGCTGGAGCACAGCAGCTGGAGCACAACAGGTGGAGCACAGCAGCTGGAGCACAGCAGCTGGAGCACATCAGCTGGAGCACAACAGCTGGAGCACAACAGCTGGAGCACAACAGCTGGAGCACAGCAGCTGGAGCACAACAGCTGGAGCACAAACAGCTGGAGCACAGCAGCTGGAGCACAGCAGCTGGAGCACAGCAGCTGGAGCACAACAGCTGGAGCACAACAGCTGGAGCACAGCAGCTGGAGCACAGCAACTGGAGAACAGCAGCTGGAGCACAGCAGCTGGAGCACAACAGCTGGAGCACAACAGGTGGAGCACAACAGCTGGAGCACAAACAAACCACTTTTAAAACAAGTTGGAAAGGTTGGACAACGGTTAAGTTGGACCGCACGCAAATTGGGTCACAAATATGTTGCATCATCAACAAGGGATCAGATGAACAAGGGCCGTGACGAGGATTCGAACTAACGACCGAGATACGGATAAGGATGGAAGATGGCAGTGGGACTGCCTCCTCCACCCTTCTTCGCCTCACCATCCTGGCATCACCCCCCCCCCCCACCCCCGCACAGCCAATTGGGGTGGACGGTAGAGCGACGGTCTCGCTTCGTGCAGGTCAGTGTTCAATCTCCGACCGTCCAATTGGTTGGGCACCATTTCTTTACCCCCGTCCCATCCCTAATCCTTATCCTGGCCCTTTCCTAGTGCTATATAGTTGTAATGGCTTGGTGCTTTCTCCTCATAAATTCCTCCCACACCCCATTCCCACGACACATGTATCCACAGTAATAGTGTCAACGTTCTTGTGTGTCGCCTCTAGAATCGAGAGGAAAGTGGGCTGCGTGGTGAGAGAAGATGTGGCAGCCAGTAGCAGGAGGGAGAGTGTGTCGCGTCCTCACCACCAGTAGCCCACTTGTGGCCAGCCCCAGGAGCACTGCTCATCACTGACTCTGGTCAGCTCAGCTTTAGAGTCAACAGCAGCCACCAAGTGTTTTACAGTAATGTTGGTGGTGGTGGTGGTGGTACCTTGGAGGACACGCGTCCCCTGCGTGTGGCCAACCACACGGCCTCCTGCCCAACCACGCACTTTACTTCTTGACTCAACAATCGCATTACAGCCTGGAAGGAGCCGAAAGTGACCTCTAATTACATTGACTACTTGTGATAGTTGCTTCTCCATACTGGCCCTCTCTGGGAGTTGGTGGTTGACGTCAGTCTTGACCAAGCTGGTCATTAGCTTAGGACGGTCAACTCGCAGCGGTAAATGTGTCCGGGACATATATATGAGAGTATTTGTGCGCCAGTGAGGGGTGAGGTGTGTCAGGGAGCCCTGCGCACCGCCCTGCTCCAAGGACACACTCGTGCATGTCAACTGATAAAACAGTCACGACTTCAAAGGCAATTTAGCTAAAAGCAATTGAGCTGGAGGAGTGAGCGTGGAGGCGGCGTACACGCGTGCTGGACAGCGCTCACACGTGGACCACTGTATTCACTTAAACTAAGTATGATAAAGCAGAATAAGATGGGGGGGGGAGGGTAGCGCAGGCGGCAGGCACTCCTCTTCTTGAGCGGGAGGGAGGCTGGAGGGTCCCTGGAGGGAGGCTGGAGGGAGGCTGGAGGGAGGCTGGACTTACCGAGGTGCGTGAAGAGGTTCTGCGCGACGTTAAGGAGCGCCTGACACTGTGTCCGTAGTCGCCGCTCCCTCTCCGCCGTGGTGGTGTTCACCAGCATCCCCACCGTGTACCTGCAACACACACACACACACCTGTAACACCTCCTCCACACCTCTCTATATGTGTGTGTGTGTGTGTGTGTGTGTGTGTGTGTGTGTGTGTGTGTGTGTGTGTGTGTGTGTGTGTGTGTGTGTGTGTGTGTGTGTAGGTAGGTAGGTAGGGAGTCGGTACATTAGACAACAGAGGGTTAAAAGGGCCAACATCTCGATCCTGTAGGCATACCGTAAATACACACACAGGAACGTACACACAGAACGTGCACAGACATGCACGCACGAACGTACACACACACGCAGCTCCACAGCACACCCGCAGGAATGGTCAAACAAATGGTTGTTAGAGTTTAACCCAAGCAAATGTAATGTAATGAAGATAGGTGTAGGGAGCTGGAGACCAGATACAAGGTATCACCTGGGAGATGAAATTCTTCAAGAGTCAGAGAGAGAGAAAGACCTGGGGGTTGATATCTCGCCAGACCTCTCCCCTGAAGCCCATATCAAGAGGATAACATCAGCGGCATATGCCAGGTTGGCTAACATAAGAACGGCCTTTAGAAACTTGTGTAAGGAATCTTTCAGAACATTATATACCACATATGTCAGACCAATCCTGGAGTATGCAGCCCCAGCATGGAGTCCATATCTAGTCAAGCATAAGACTAAACTGGAAAAAGATTCAAAGGTTTGCCACCAGACTAGTACCCGAGCTGAGAGGTATGAGCTACATGGAGAGACTACGGGAATTAAACCTCACGTCGCTGGAAGACAGAAGAGTTAGGGGGACATGATCACCACGGACAAGATTCTCAGAGGAATTGACAGGGGTAGATAAAGACAGGCTATTTAACACACGGGGAACACGCACTAGGGGACACAGGTGGAAACCGAGTGCCCAAATGAGCCGCAGAGATATTAGAAAGAACTTTTTTAATGTCAGAGTGATTGACAAATGGAATGCATTAGGCAGTGATGTGGTGGAGGCTGACTCCATACACAGTTTCAAGTGTAGATATGATAAAGCCTAGTAGGCTCAGGAACACCAGTTGATTGACAATGCCTCTTTGGTCCCGCCTCTCAAGAGCTCAACCCCCGCAAGCACAAATAGGTAAGTACACACGCAGCTACACACACACAAGCGCACACACTAAACCCTCACCTGAAACACTCCTCCACCTTGTGCACATCGGTGTTTGAGAAGTCTCCGCCAGCGACCTTGTCGACCAAGCAGACAAGCACGGCCGTGGTGTCCTTGCCCGGGGCGGTCACGGGCACACACAGCAGCGAGGTGGGTGACGGGGGCACGGACGAACTCTCACTGGGGTCACGACTGGGCCGAGAAGTGGCCCTGGAGTTGAGCTGGGGTTTGGCACTGTGATTGTGGCTGGACTCTATAGGAGGCATACTAGAGGCCGCAGCCTTACACCCGAGGCCCTGCAGAGGCGGCCTGGGACACACTGGGATGGCGGACTCTTCTTCAAGACTGTCGCAGCTTCCCATGTGCGTGCGGTGTGCGTGCGGCGGCGGTGCGGGCAGGGAACATCTGTGGTACTTGTGCGCAGCGGCAGACATGTTGAGAGGCGACCCCCCTATGCCCCAGCGTCCCCCCTCCCCCCGCCCCGACCTGGACATGTCTACGGACATGTCTCGCGACAACACCTTGAACCTCGAACTGGTGTCGTCGACGCTCTTGGCCGAGCCGTTGGTCTTGAGGCACGGACGGTGGTCCCCGCCCGCGGTGGCGTCCACAGACACGGTGCGGTGACCGGCCAGCCTGTCACTGTCCTGCAGGAGTCCCAGCAGGCGCCATAGGTCCTCCCTGTGCGAGGGTTCGATGTCCTTGAGGGTCATCGGGCGGCGGGTGGTGAGGGCTCTGCTGAAGCTGTTGTTGCTCACCTGACCAGAAGACAACACTAATTATAAACACCTGTCACAACACAATGCAGACAATGAATGGTACACCTGGCCCGGCAACACCTGCAGCTTGCCGCACACCTGGTCGGTCCAGTGTCATCATCGCCTTAGTGTAATCGCTAAAGAATAAGATTATAATTCATGTATACTAATGAACACATTAAATAATTCACGAGCCGCCATGGTGCCAGTAGTGACCATGGTGGGCCACCACGGTGCCAGTAGTAACCATGGTGGGCCGCCACGGTGCCAGTAGTAACCATGGTGCCAGTAGTGACCATGGTGGAGCCACCACGGTGGGCCGCCACGGTGCCAGTATGGTGACCATGGTGGGCCACCACGGTGCCAGTATGGTGAGACCATGGACCATGGGGCCACCACGGTGCCAGTAGTAACCATGGTGGGCCGCCACGGTGCCAGTAATGGCCATGGTGGGCCACCACGGTGCCAGTAGTGACCACGGTGCCAGTAGTGACCATGGTGGGCCACCACGGTGCCAGTAGTGATCATGGTGGGCCGCCAGGGTGCCAGTAGTGGCCATGGTGGGCCACCACGGTGCCAGTAGTGACCATGGTGAGCCACCACGGTGCCAGTAGTGGCCATGGTGGGCCACCACGGTGCCAGTAGTGACCATGGTGGGCCACCACGGTGCCAGTAGTGACCATGGTGGGCCGCCAGGGTGCCAGTAATGGCCATGGTGGGCCGCCAGGGTGCCAGTAGTGACCATGGTGGGCCGCCATGGTGCCAGTAGTGACCATGGTGGGCCACCACGGTGCCAGTAGTAACCATGGTGGGCCGCCACGGTGCCAGTAATGGCCATGGTGGGCCACCACGGTGCCAGTAGTGACCATGGTGGGCCACCACGGTGCCAGTAGTGATCATGGTGGGCCGCCAGGGTGCCAGTAGTGGCCATGGTGGGCCACCACGGTGCCAGTAGTGACCATGGTGAGCCACCACGGTGCCAGTAGTGGCCATGGTGGGCCACCACGGTGCCAGTAGTGACCATGGTGGGCCACCACGGTGCCAGTAGTGACCATGGTGGGCCGCCAGGGTGCCAGTAATGGCCATGGTGGGCCGCCAGGGTGCCAGTAGTGACCATGGTGGGCCACCACGGTGCCAGTAGTGACCATGGTGGGCCGCCAGGGTGGCAGTAATGGCCATGGTGGGCCGCCAGGGTGCCAGTAGTGACCATGGTGGGCCGCCAGGGTGCCAGGGGGCACGACCCACATGCCAGCAGGAGTCACGTGATGACTCCACATAACATTTAAGTACAACCTTCAATATTTGTGTTGATATGATGGCCAGCGGCTGCCTGGCCCTCCTCACTGGTAAGGATAACACAAACTTCGATAAAACACTTATTACAGAAGAAGAAAAAATAATATTACAAGTAATACTAAAGCAAAGTGAGCTTTATCATTTAATGATCAAAGTAGCGTGATTAATATTGAAATATTAAAGACACTGGCAATGTGGCCGAAGACCACTTGATAAAGGAACAGGTCGGGAAACATTAGAGACGGAGAGAGAGGCGCCTCGTCTCTCACCACAAGAGGCGAGGTGCCTCTATAAACACAACACAGGTTAGCAACAGGTGGCGGGGCCCCAGAGTGGTGGGCCGCGCCACCACAGGTGGACCTGGCGGGCCCAGAGTGGGGCCCTGAATTTCCGTTGGTGGCTCTTTTGGCTCATTTGAACTACCGGATAATATTACAACTCCATTATCGGAGTGGGGAAAGCCGTGGCTTGAGAGCGTGTGAAGAGACACGAGCGAGGCGCACCACTGGGGCTCACCATAGCCCGTGCTGCTTGCAAGTTTTGATCAGAGTAGCTGACTCTACAACAATAACACCACCGGGTGGTGAGCAACAAGGAGGGCGCGCGCACTCTCCCACACATCACACTCGTCAGTGGATGGTAAAGCCAACCCAACTTAGCCTAACTGAACCAGTCCTAACTCAAACCAGCTTGACTGAAGTTATTACATCGTAGCCTAACGATATACACAATTTTGACAGAGAAAACGAGCCTTGTCGAATCTTTGTGGTGTAGAAGTTGATCATTCCTCGCTCCCTCACCCTCGTCGTACTCCTCTTTTACCTACTTTCCAATAGTACTTATATGGAACTCGCCTTTAGGCGATACGAGCTTCAGCTCTTGTGCCCGCTTCTTTCTCGTCGATTCACAGCCGTAAAGGGTGACTAGTTCCTGACGTTAGACCTTACCTAGATGCGCATCCTTACAAGGAGTCGTTCTCTCCTGTCGCTGTTGTGGTCCTCACTGTGTTGACCTTCCCCTCGTCCGCTCCCGTTTTATCGCTCTCATGGATTATGACAAGTACAAAACTGCATCTAATGTCCAGTTATGTATTATCCAAACATAGCCACTGTAAATAACACAGCGGGCACCAACATAGCCCCCAGGAGCCGCGGCGGGCACCAACATAGCCCCCAGGAGCCGCAGCGGGCACCAACATAGCCCC